TGCTCTGCGCTCCGCCCGGCTCGGCCCAGCTCAGCGCGCGGACAGCCCCGCACTGCCCCAGCCCGTGCCGGGCGCTCTCCCGTTTGCTCCTTGTAGCTGGCAAGTCCTCAGGTCACGTTTTAAATCTTCTTCTCCGCAGTCCCCGAGCCGGGATTAGAGCGTTAAGAGACACACCCAATACCAAGAGGCTTGAAAAAAGTTTAATGAGCTAGTAACACTGAACAGCACGGACTAATCTAAAAACTGTTCCCACATCCTACTTAAAATATTTACAATTTTGTTACCTGTATATACATTGTCAGCTTTGTCCCTTATAGTCTATTTATAGATGAGTTCCTTAGGAATTATACCTGTTATATTTGGAAGATGAACAGCACAGTATTAGTGTAGTAGCCATTGCTGGGAGTACTCCCTGTACTAGATGAGCTGTCAACAGCCTGAGGCAATGTGTACACGAATCAATGCACAATGCAAACTTCTCTGCCTTTGCAACATCTGGATGTGCAAGGTAGCAGGCAGTATACTATTACACTGTGCAATTCACTCAGAGAAAAACCAACCCAAACAAACCACACACCTCTGTGCTGCAGTACAGGGCATCTGTAACCACAGAGACAGTGACCTGTGGTCCTTACCCCAATCTGCTCTTCCAAACATACCATTCACCCCAGACTCTGCTGCTCCACTGAAGGCCTACGAACCCGTATAAAGCCACAATCCCACTGTGAAAAGCAATTCATCAAGTAAAGTCGAATTTTACAACATCCTGAAATCACACAACAGAACAGCACCTCTTGGAAAAGTTTCATGGTTCAAGTAAGAGAGACAAATCAATACAACTAATAAAACTGGACTCATAGCTCTAACTTTTAGGTCCAGTTAGCAGAACGAGATCCTTTTCACGCATTCCTTTATTGGGGATACCTTCCCTTTATTTTCTGAAGCAAAACTTTTTATTTGTATCAAAGTGGGGCAGTATTACCTTTCATTGCTATTTTATGCACTTTCTGAACTTCCTTCTGCTACTTCATTTCCCCTTTCTGGAAAGAAACCCAAGAAGTTCTCTGAAAGTATTTCTGCCAAAGAAATTGCAGAGTCAGCCACCAAGCTCAAAACAATTTAAGTACACTGGATAGGAAAGTCACAGACAAACAGATAAACCTGAGAATGCAAGTGAAAAAGTACTGGGCGAGTAGTGTCAGACCAATCCAATACTTAGTGGTTTTACATGATGAATTGAGAAAAAACCTAATTAAATTAATCTAATTTACTAGAAAATATTAAGCTTACAGATGATACAATGTCTGCATAATTTTAGAAAAATCATTGATTTCATGGTTTATTTTACAATAATTGGATTAGTCTACAAGTTAAGGCAAACATACTAATGCATCTGCTTTTCTTTTTAAATCATAGTTATAAAGGTTACACAAAGTTCTCCAAAATTTCTAAGAAATGTTCACAATTGAAAAAAAAGATAAGTTTCTTGATATCAGTACATGGAGAAAAAAAACTAAGACAGTGTATACAATGCCATTATAGTAACAATATTCAAATATCTAATGGTAATATTTAGTCCATTTGAATAATGTGCTTCAAATGGTGAACTTCAGAAATTACTTACAAAGGTAAATAAGATTGCAGCCGTATCATAGTATTCATAACATGAACATTATTATATTGGCTATTTTCACAAAACCCGAGCATTTGGTTTCTGAACAATGAAAGCATATAATGATTAAATAAACATGAATATGTATGTATAACAAGTATGCTGTTCATATAGGCTGGAGCTACTTTCCAGGTGTGTGTTTTATTCTTTTGAAAGAAGAAGCTTGCTTATGTGCACTTTGTCAAATGTTTTCTCCAGGGAACTGTAAATGCCTATTTGAAGTCATGGAAACAAAATCCAGAGGAGGGCAGCCCTTGTCAGTGGGAGGACAGAGCGGAGCTTATGTGTCACCGTTTAGCACTGCCAGGCAGCTCTGCAGAAGCTGTAAGTTACCCTGCAAAGATAAAGAAAAATGTGACCACGTTTCCCTTCTTTCTCTTACGCTTGTGACAGAATGATACTTTGCAAATATCAGGGACAACACTAAAGGAGAACAGACAGGTATTAAAAGCTTGTGGAAAAATATTTGTGCAAGTTAACTTTTACCTTAAGAGCGCTTTGGAATGCTGGAATATTGCGTCATATAACTGAAGAGAGCCAACTTGAGATCAAGAATATGCACTTCAGTACCCTTTTCATGTTTCTGCCTAAAGATCTAGTCTGGCCACAAAAACTATTCACTGCAGAACACTCTTAGCAATGAAGTTCACAGTTGCAATGTTTTAAATTTTTTAGCTAGCATTACCATTACTTTGTCACAAAAGCATATATATTCATATGTCACACTCAATACTGAATTCACCGGGAGTATTAAACAATTCATAGCACTCAGGATCTCCTCACTCACAACAGCCATCTGAGCTCACAGCTTTGTTCAAGGCCAGGCCTTGTTTGAAAGGCAGCAGACTGATTTACATGCTTAGCCAGGTGATTTAGCCAGCAAAGTTGAGTTTAGCCATTACAGCTGAAGCTACAGAAGTGATTATCAGAACGTTAATTCCTCTTTATCTCTAGTCAAGCTCTGTCCTTCTTTCCAAACACAGTTTTTAATCTTATTTAAAAGCATTCTGACTCCACCATAAAAACATACAGGCTGACTTTCAGGTATCTGAATGAACTTATAGAACTGTGAATTAAGCAAATGTCATTGACAAGCCAAGATTTACTCTGCAGAAAAAAACCACCAAAACAACCTGGTATTCGCAATATTCACATTGGTTTGTGCATTCATTTATGCTTAGATCACTTTGAACTACTAGCTATTCACTACAAGCAAAATAGCTGTACCAGGTTTGTTTCCAAATCTGAAATCTCTGCATAAGAAAAAAATGTTAGCCTGTTGACAGTGGTAAGAGTAATTCCTATCCGGTTAGGATAAAATGCAGGAACAGTGCAGTCTGAATGCCTAGTTATGAACATGGGAGAAACTGCTTACTTCTAAAAAAGTTTTTGGATGCAAAAAGAAACATGTAAAGAAAACTTCAGACAGACAAAAGCATGTAAGTAGCTGTGATTCGCATGCCTTTCATAAACCGTCCACAGAAGTATAAAGAATTTGTAATTACTTTTTCAGCTGAAAGCATTCCAAGTGACCTGTGGTAGATAAGCAGAAGGACACTCATCCCTCAGCCCCAAAAGGTAAGAAATCATAATTCGATCCCCCATTAAGGTTCTTATAATCCAGATTAAGCAATTAACTAATTTAAAGGCTTCAGAGCAGAAGATTTCCAGTTATGCCTACTGAATCCTTATCTGTCTTATCCAGTGCACTCTTATCCAGAAGGCAGCATTTTCAGTTACAGCTTCAACAACTTTTTTTACGCTTTTATGCCTATACCGGCAGACAACAGTCACAAGCTATTTTTTAGAAGGCTTCTAATTCCATGACATGAACAAGTTCTATACAGACGAGACACACTGGGACTTGCTGGCCCATCTTTGTGCTGTACAAGATCCATAAACTAAGGTCTCTGTTACTGAACAGCTGCTATTGGCTGTAATGAACTAATGAATGAAAAGGAATACTTCAGTCTGAAGTCTTCAATCTTCAGTCTGAACTATACCTGTAGACTGCACATGTTACCTACAACAAAAGTGTGACAGTAATCTTTTAACCATCTTCTTGCAGGAGCAGGAGATGCATTTACAATTCACAGGCCACTACGTAGCACTCGGAAAAAAAAAAAAAAAAAAAAGGCACTACCAAGACATCTGTGCTGGTTTTGGCTGGGATAGAGTACATTTTCTTCATAGTGGCTAATATGGGTGTGTTTTGGATTTGTCCTGAAAACAGTGTTGATAATACAGAGATGATGATGTTATTGCTGAGCAGATCTTACTCAGCCTTTTCTGTTTCTCATACTGCCACGCTGGCAAGGGGGCTAGGGCTGCATGGGAAGCTGGAAGGGGACACAACTAAGACACCTAACCCCAAGCGACCAAAGGGACATTCCACACCATATGACATCACGCTCAGCAGATAAAGTGGAGGGAATGAGGAGGAAGGGGGTGACATTTGGAGTAATGGCATTTGTCTTCCCAAGTAAGCATTGTGTGTGATGGAGCCCTGCTTTTCTGAGAATGGCTGAACACCTGCCTGCCCATGGGAAGCAGTTAACTAATTCCTTGTTTTACTTAACTTTCTTTCCCTTGTCTGATTATGAACATGGGAAAATCGGTGGATTTTCTGTATTTTGAGATTGAAATGGGCTAATTAAACATATTCACCTCTTTCAAGCAGTGAGCCATCTTTTACACATCAGTCATTTCCAGACTCAGCCAGACAGCCTACTAAAATTTTCCAAATAGGCACTTCATTCATTTTCATTAGATTGAATTTACAAAGTTCACAAGAACCACCTTATTAAAATTGTAATAAATCAAGGACAATAGAGGCTGTGAGCCATTACTCTTTCTGGCTGCAGCATATGACATATCAGCACAGCTCGAGGAAGTCCTATACATTCAGATTCAGAGAAGTGTTTCTTGCCAGCTCAAACTCCTAAGCTGTAGATATTACAATTACTGGCAGAACCACAGTGACAGAAACACCCTTTTCAGGAAAGAAAGAATTACTGACAAAACATTTCATCAAATCTCTTAACACTGGATTTTGCTTACTTCCTTCTTCTGTCAGTTCCAAATAGACATCTGTTGCTAGTAACACAACAAATTCCTTTTCCAAAAATCCCACAGAGGCAAGAGCATATGTATCAATATTTGTGGACAAGCAGATTTACATTTTTCTTACTTTTTATTTGAAGAAAGTGGCTGTCTTAACTCAATTACAATTCATATGTCAAAAGACTCTAAATGTACAGCCAAGGGTATAAATGCTCTAAGTATATGATTACAACCTTAGCAGTTTCATCAGCTATCAAGCCTCCCTTCTTGAACATGAAGTCCAACACAACACCACCTCAAAATCCAACTGTTTAAGATACTGAACAGTACACTAAATGCAGTTTTTGCACTAAAATGGCCAAACAGTTAGGTCTTACATTAGCTACAGCTGCATGAAGAAACACAAGAGCTAGCAAAACAGAAGCTAAGCACTACCTAGGGATATCATCAGCCAGAACGCCATAGAAAAGGAAACACCAGTTTAGTGTAGGTCAGAGACCAAGGAGAATCTAAAGCTGCAGTTTGGCAGTTATTCTAAGTAAATCTAGAGTATATGCTGCTGCTAAGAAGGCAGCTCTTACACTGCCGACCTTCCCAACCAAAACTGTGTGTTTTGATACCAGAGATGCAGTGAAAACAAGGGTGAAAGTAAAGCACAGAAAACCCCAGAGCAACTTTAAGCTCCTCCTTGCTGTGCAGCTGCACACATAATACTGCCAACATAAGGGAAAGGAACAGCCATGCATCATCATCATTCCTGGCAGCAGTCTGCACTTGCATCAACATAAAGTAATCTCAACCAACACTCTGATTTTTAGCTTTCTCAAAAGGCTTGTGTTGCAATCCAGAAAGGCTAAGAGGATATTAGCAGATTAAAAGAAGTATTTTATAGGGAAGTAGTATAAACATAACTGTGCAGACAGGGTGCACTTAGTAGTAGTATATACAATATCTGCTCTACTAAAAGCTTGATTTCCCAATCATCTCCAGTGTTTTCAAGCTACACAGCAAGATACAGCTCACAAAGTGCAAGCCATGCCTCAGAGCTTTATCTCAGTGCTTTGGTCATTCTCAGTTCTTCAGTGCAGCAATCTGTTTTGGGACTTGTGTTTTCCTTTCTGCACAGAGCAAAAAATTTACAGTAAGTCATGCAGCAGCTTTCATTGTGGCCACTCCATGGAGTTCAAGCACCCATTGCTACATCATATTTCACCTCCACATTTTCTGTGCCAGGCAACTCCAAGTCCAGAAGACACATGGATAGACAAATTCAGACAAAGATGTATCTGCTTGACACCTAGTCTGGAGGTACTTGTTGCAGAAAAAACCAAACCAAACCACAACAGAAAACTTCCAGCAAAAGCTTGCAACAGTGTTATTTGTTGTTCCCAGACCCCCTCCCCACTTATCGTTTTTGCTGGAAAAAACACTTAAGACCTGGATAACAAGTCCTGTTGGAAAGTTTGTGAGTGCTGTGCTCCACATGCTATTGACCAAGCAATTGACATTTTGGTGCTGCCAGAACTTCAGCTGTCTGCCTCCCATAGCTGCAAAAGCACGAAAGACAGGGACTGCCACAGGATCAGAGCATTTTGTCCAGAACCTTAAAGCAAGGAGCTTTTAATCTGACTCAATTAATTCATTGCCTACATGAAAAAATGTAGCCTTCTTTTTATCTTTTACCAGCCCTCTTTTGGCTGTACTGCAAGAGGAACTCACTTTAACCCAGCCACAAACAGGCCTCCCCCAGCATCCCTGAAATGGGAGCACTGTTCTGATTTGCATTGCATTCATGTTCCCCTAACATTATTCTTCACACATCAGGGCACAATGCTATCTTATAAAAAAAACAAAACACCACAAAGTCTTTTAATTTTTTTTCCTTCCTTTTATAGAACTACCTCAGAGAGTGTCCACCAAACCATTTCACCCCTCAATACTCTATACAGACTAATGGAAACCTATCCAAAAGACTGTTCTCAAATATGCTGATTATAGCATTAATAGGAACACTTCCCATTATATAATATTGAAAAATATGACCTATTGCACTTGTAAAATCTGTAATAATCTAACTCAGAATCCATAGAAAGAACACCACAGTAACCAAACCAATCCATCCATAACAGCTTAACTTGTTTTAAGTATGAAACACAGGCTTTGAAAAAGAGAACTTTCAAACCTAGTATCTTTTCATTCAACAGGTCACCATACTTGTTAACATTTCAAGAATTGTCACCCCTAGTTATATGACCTTTAATATTGTAGAGCTTTAAATATTCAAAACTGTCTAGTGCATGTTGTGCTCCATGATGATGCAGGTGAAAAGGGCCAGCAAAAAAAATTCACCTTCAGAAACAACTACAATTCAAAGCTTCTATTACAGCTTTATATATTCATCAGTAAATTTATTAAGACAAGGTAAGTCACAGACTGAGACACTATCTGAAGAACTTTAGCTGTGGTGACAACAGCAAAAAAAATAAAGTAAGTTGAAAGCTACAAAATTTAAGCATCTTCCCCCTGCCTTCTGCTGTTATTAGCTGTCAGAATTCAAAAGAATATTGCTACATGATTGTGACTTGCATAGTTTAACAGAAGTGATTCTTTCAGGATACTTTAGAAGACTGAGACATTGTTTAAGCATTCTGCTGCAAGGCATGCAGGGACTTCAGCAAGGGTCAGTTACAAGAGATGATGAAGAGTCAGCGACTGAAGCAGGACAGAAGCACTGTGGATTCATTTCCTTATTAAAGCATGATATGGAAAATCAATAAAAACTGTTGCAAATATAACTGTTAGTAGGACTACTTAAAGGAAGCACTGTTCATCTGAAAAACTAGTAAAGTGTTCCACACCTTACTGATTGCTTTACCAGCTAAATAGCCCATTAAGATGAACTTACACCTACAAAGACTCAAAAAAAGGCAAGAAAAAAAGAAAAAAAAGTCCAAACAATCAGTGTCATCACTACTGAAAAGAGTGTAAAGCAGCAACTAATCTTAGTTAGCCTTAGGACTTAACTAGTCCTTTCAACAGATATATTCTGAGGTAATTCACAGCTAGGTAACCAATGCAGTTTCAGATTTGTGAGAAGAATGAGAAATAATAAACAGATGATTTTTAGAAGAAAGCTGCCTCCTGGTATAGGACTGTTCAAGCAAAAGTGCTGTACTTGTCTATGAAATCAGAGCAGCTAACCCGTTTTAAACAAAAGATCAATTTCATATAGATTAAAAGAATCAAATACATTGTGAAATTTAAGGACAGTGTAGGCTCCTTAAAAATCTTTTCCTACAAAAATTTGCTTTCCTGAAAAAATAAAAACATAAATCTATCTGCAACATTCGTCTTTTGTTAACACTTTAAAGATAAAAAGGTTCAAAAAGCATACTCACCACACTGATCTCACTTCAGACAGGCCTGTGTGATCTCATGCTTAATAGTTAACCTATCCTATACATCAAATCCCAACATCTGGATAACAGGAGAAACTGCTTCCTATCTCATAGTAAAATGGTGAGATGAAGTTTTAAAAATAGGCAGGTTTTCAAACTGCAGCTATAAATATCAAACAACTAAAGAAAACTGAAGCCAAAATTGTCTTTAAGGAGATGAGTTTTCCAAAGGCACCTCAAGCATACCAACCTCTCAAAGATTCTTTAATAACAAGCAAAAAAAGTATAGGTAAAGTAAGTTCACCTTTCTGGATGATGCTTAACTCTGAATTCCTTGAATGTGACGTATCACACAACAGATGTAGCCATTTTGGTTAATCAATCAGTTGAAATATAAGCCAAAAAGGATCACAATTACCTTAGCATGTTTTAATTCCAGTTCTGCTAGTTCCACCAGATTTTTTCTGAATGCTGCAACTCTTCTTGTCTTAAAGTCTATCAGTTCTATAGAAAATAAACATGATTCATTAACAAGATCCTTGCTAGTGGCCTCAGCTGTTAACAGACTTTCCTTCAGGATGGAAGAAGTAAAGGATGACAGAAGGCAAAAAGAAAAAAATAGAGTTTAATCTCAGAGCATTCTGGGCTCAAAAAACCTGCTGCAGTGTTGGATGAAAGCAAACCAACACTGCAGTTCCTCATCTCTAGGTAACCTTTCATGGACACAAAGCTCTTTTGAAAAAAGCCTGCAATGTGGATGCTTTTAGCATTTAATTCTCTTACTCCGTGTGTACTGTTCTTTCAAAGCCAATACGTGAAAGTCTTTAGGGAATATACTAAGCTAAAACTAGTATGAACAACAGTATGTTTTCTGCATATACTTCTGTGGCTAACAGGGATCACTCATTCTCCACTATCTCATTTACAGGAATCATTAACCAGACTTACAGGCTCAAACAACATTTAGATGATAAGAACAGAAAAGCATAGTGTTTAAACCTTGAACAAACCTGCCCCAAATGTCAAGTCAGATGACTACTAACCAACAGCTTTAGCCTAAAAAAAAGACTAAGTTTCCAGAAAAGAGCAACATGTAAACAATGCTCCTTTTCTCTGTTAGCTCTGTAATTCAGTGAAATCTGATTTCATTATTTCTCCCTTCTCCAATGTAGTATGGTATCTGTGACAGACTGGTGCCTTCACAGAAAAATGAATAAAGCCAAAAGGGGAATTTCAACAACACTTTAAAAGATCTGTTTGCCATTACTGCTAGCAATTATCATTTTGTATCCTAGCTTATGCAGATGAAAAAGAGAGCTGAACAAATAATCTGCACTTAAGACTTTGCTCTGCCAAATGGAGCTATGAGGAGACAAAGACAAATGTAATTTGAACTTTCTTAAGTAACTAAATATCTGATTAAAAGATAATAGTCCTGCTTAGGAAACAGTACAAAAATCTGTTCTCACTAATAACATCCTAAAATCTGTTAATTTTAAAGTAGTAACACAGGATCAAGGACCACACAAATACCTTGTTTTGCCGATTCAGAAATTTTCTCAAATTTCTGACAGCATATTTGCTGAGTAGTTTCAGCCTGCAGCACATCTTTATTTTTCGCTCTTGCTTTATCCAATGCCTTATTAGCATTTTCATAATCCACTAGTGACCTAGATCTTCTATATAGGAGATCCTGTAAAAAAAAGCATAAAGGTTGTATAGAGTTTTTAATACTCCACCTGAGGATTTTATTATATACACCAAGTAATTATAAAAAAAAATCCAGTTAATTTTAGTTTTTCTTGTGAATTGCAGTTTTTACTAAATTATTTGCATTCACTTTACTTCATCCTGCGACTCACAGTAATGTCCACACTGGATCAGACCCACAACATAATACTGTTTGGTCTGTATCTTGTCTGGCAGAAGCTGGCAACAGATGGCTTAAATGAAGCTCCAAAAAGCCTAAGAAGTGACAATCATGGGAAATTTCACAACTTCTTAGATTAGAAACAAACTATATTTAGATTATGTATTTGAAATACACACAGGGCCCAAGAAGAAGCAGTAACATTTTTTTCTGTGCAACAGTTATTGCTATGATCTTATAACTTCAGACATTTTCTGTCAAATGCTTCCTCATCGTAAGGAAGAATTTGCTCTTCTTGCATCAAACAACAATAAGAATTAAATTTTATGTAGGCATGGAAGATAAAATTTGGCCCATGTGTTTTCATATCAGCAGCTGTGGATCATATGGAGTATCCAATTTTATTTTAAAAATAGAATTGTTTGCAGTCTACGAGCAGAAAACACATTGCAAACACAAACAATTCACCAACAGCTCTTCCACTGTTATTTCATTATACTGCATGATCTGGCCTTGACAAATAGCTCACACAGTTCCAGTCAGTGCCAGAGTCAGCAGCTGCATTGTAACTCCTCATACACAACAAAGGATACAGGTTTTACAGTTAAGAGAGAAGTTTCCCCTAGAGGTGACATCATTTTTACCTATCTATACCATGTGTTTCTCAGGATGATCCCTTATCTCTCTCTTTTTTATTTTCTTGTTAAAGAAACACTCGTTGCTTCTCTAACAAAGTAACTTGGTTGGTTTTTTGTTAAAGAAACACTATTTCACTGAAGAAAACCCCATAAATTCACCTTAGCAGCTTGAGATTCCCTAAGGTAATATTTCAGAAGATCAGAAAGTTTAAGATCTTCATCAGCAGATACCCGAGCCTCTATTTTCTGAAAAAAAAAAATAAACAAACAAAAACACCACCACAAAACAAACAAACAAACAAAAAAGAACAGTAAGTAAAATCATCAATTTAAAAACATCTAGACTTTGGGTATTCACTTGTATGATATAAATCCAGTGCAAAACACACAGTCTGTGACAGACTATCTTTTTCAAAAACTAAGATTAGGCATTAATGACAGACTAAAGATGCAAAATGAGAAGCAGTATTAGGACTTTGTATTAAAATGTAAGCAATAACCTACTGTGCAGGCAATAACTGACAACTGGCTTTCTATTTTAAATGCTACTTTTTTTCCAAATATCAGTTTTATGTATCATAGACTAGAAAAACTGCAGAGACACAAAAACTTGTACAAAGAGTTGAACAAGAAGTTTTATGTTGCTGTTGAGACCAAAGGAAAACAAATTTTTATGGCACCTTTGCAGGCTAATTGTAAAACTGTAAATGGTCTTAAAGTCCAATAAAATTATTTGCTTGTATTAAAGCAGACATTTCTGTGGACTTATAAACACAGTCTGCAAATGCATTTTTAAAAAAAAAATAAAGGCAACATTTTGAGTCAAAACAAGTAATTATCTTAATGTTCTTTAAAAGACATATTTATGCAGATGAAATTGTCTGTTCAGAAAATGCACACATTATTCGTCTGCAAGTTTTCGTGAGACATGCCATGCATCTTCCCTCTACCAAGCCAAACTAGTAAGGCAAAACAGAGAAGGTATTTGAAAAATCTGGTTAGAAGCATCAGCAGCAGTATTTCTGAGTCAAATAATTGCAGAAACAGATCTTGGCTCCAGGAAAAAGCAGCATGACTGCCATTTTTTGGATTAAGGATTACATTTCTTCATTTCTTTTATCCATAACAAATTCTGTGACACCCAGTAACAAGTATAGAAGATCTCTAAGCTTTTAAAGACACAGCAACTTTATTAGTGTATTACATAGAAGACAGAAGACTGTCAGAAACATTTAGTAGACTGAAGACTCCTAAGGATCAATCATTTTACAAAACAGATGAACTGAAATCTTATGCTCTCTCATTCTGTACCACATATTGCTTAAATGCCTCATAAAAAAAAATCCATAAAACATACAAAGACGATGTCTGTTTCGTAGTACATACCCTTGTTTTGTCAAATAACTCTGACACCTTCAGAAAAAACCTGTACAAAGAAAACAGCTTATATTGCAGCATTTATTTGAACAATCTAATTACTTTCTAGAGCTCACAATATAGTCTGCATCTGGCAATACAGACTGCAAAGGCATTGTAATTCACAGAGCTCAGACAACATACTACTTTCAACTTGTAGCACTTCAAACATCTGGTAACCGTGCAACTTAAGAAAAGGCAAAGGACAAACAAAGCATAACAGATGGATGGTTTTTAGTAAAGAGTAATGGCACAGCTCCTCGAGGATTCTTCATGCTTCTGTGAATTAAACCCCAACACTGGCAGCCTGGTTAAATGTCTCATACTATCACCAAGTGTCGCTCAAGTATCACTCAAGCTTGAATGTACTTCTCTTCACACAGTAAACACGATCCATGCCCTACTCGGAATTTAGGAAGGCTGAGCAACAATGTGGCACATCTTCATCACAAGAGACAATACAAGACTTTAGTCTAGCAGCAGACTGAATTAGTCCTCTGACAGAAGACAGATGCAATTTCTGAGAGACCCAACAGACTACATCAAATATCAATACTATATCAAAATAACCGATGTGTAAGCCATCACCACATTTGGAAGTGAATCACTGTAATTCAGGTAAATTAATAAGCTAACTTTCATCTCCTACCTGTCGTCACACTGACACTAACATCACACTAACTACATGTCCCTGTTAACCATCATTGACATCTCTGAGCTACTTAACTAGGTTTTACTTTCAGATACACCAAACTTCAAGTAAATCACTGAAAGATTAAAGAGCAAACGTGTACAGAGAGACTCTCTTGCTTTTTCAAAGTTCTGGAAATCTCTGTGGATTCCTTTCTTTTCCTAAAGGCAGTAAACTTGCCAGAACAGCAAAAATATTTCTCAAGATGTTGGTACAGGGAACACTCAAAAAAATCCATATACTCAGACTGAGAGCTGTGCCTGCTGCACATATCAAAGCATGTATAACATTTTTTTTAAAAATGGTGAAAGAATTGGGGATTTGTCTTATTCTGTGAGGAGCTTTCCATCTCAACTGTGTAGTCTTCTACAAACTGCAGATAACAGATTTATTTTTTTTACAGACAAATATTAAAGCAAAATTACTAAAAGCAGCCTGTTACAGAAATGGAATACTAGAGAAGAAAATCTCTTAACGTGATATAGCTGGAATAAATTCTGGTTTTCTCATAACAAGAGCTCCCAACCTCAGCAGGTCACCATTAAGACTGCTACTTAGCAAATTACCCCAAAAGTTATTAACGATATCTTACTTGCATATATCTGTGGAGTCCTGTGTTCCTAATGCATATAATGAAGAACCAATTCTATTATAGTCATCCGCCACATCTAGAAAAACAAACAAGCACTTGTTTTACTATCTCGTTCCTCCTCTTTCTGAAAATTTTTTGTTTTAACAGATTAAACTTCCACCTAATTCATTACTCCATACATATATGTGCCGTTGGTTACAGAGAAGAATAGTATGAGGAAGCTATTAACCTTCCCTTCTATTCCTCCCATTTAAACATAAAAATAGATTTTCTGCTGGAAATATGCAGTGTCTTGGCAAGCCCTGCAGCTCTCTATCAATCAAAAGTCATCCATAAACTACACTGCCCATTTCCCAAGAAAGCTTCCCAAGTTCCAGCTCTACTCCTCTAGCCAGGATTTCATAAAGTGTCATTTGTCCCAAATCGCAGTTTGGTAAAAGTTGTCAATAAACATACTATGTCATTTAAGTCTGAAAACCAGTGAAGCTTTGTCACGAGTTTGATCGATCGTTTCCCATCAGATTCTCTACAACCTCATTTCAAACAATTTTCCTGGTTCTACAACCAACATAAAAGGTTTTCTCACTATGTAAACGGTGTTTGGCATTACCTACCATGAATGAAGTTGTTTTCATTTCAAGAAAGCAAACAAAACCACCAGAAACCACTTCAGGTGGAACAGAATGAAGACACAGGGTCCGTTAGTAGTTCATTAAGCCATAACTGACTCTCCCCATCTCCTAGCATAGATACTGAAGCTACAAAAGACTTCGTCTTCATGCAACAGCAAGAGAAGCACCTGAAGAGCTCAGTAAATTCTTGGTTTAATGTCTCATTCAATATCCACTTTAGAGCTCTTATCAACAGAGATTGATAGAAGGTTTGCAACCTGGTTTTGTGTGAATTGTATTACTGTAGACAGCAAAGACAGAATCTGTAAATCAGACACAAACTTCAAGAAAGTAGACAGAATCCAGGCACAGAAACTTAAAATCAAGGGCAGCATTAAGTCAGATTTTTTCTGAGCTTCTCAGAACACAGTAATCCTAAACCAAACACAATAGTCCTAACTCAAAGATTTTTTCATTTTCTCCAATAAATGTACTGCACTTGAGAAGATTATCTAGAGCTTCCAGAAATGGCATTAGCTAGCACTCAGCTCAGGAAGGCAACTCAACAGCTAAGGGGAAAATCTTGCCTCAGAAAGAAAAGGGGTTGTGCAAACCAAGCTACTGAAGGTACATATTCCAGTCTCCACTCAAAGGATGAAAAAAGGAAAGCCAATCTAGAACAGACCAAATAGGAGTTTGCTACTAGCAGAGATAACTTTGCTAGCAAGGTAATGCAAAGCCTAGTGTGCCAAGAAATTGCACTCTGATGAATGCAACCTCATCCACTCAGGAACAGCTTCACTAGGAGCAAAACCACACATACTGCTGCATTACCCACCTCTACACCTGACTTCAAAAAGTATCAATACATAGAGCTTGTTTCCCTTCAAACAGATAGCATGAACAATCAAAATAACTTCAGTGTGACACCAGGCTGTTGTCACTCCAACTAGTCTACTACGGCAAAGGCTAAACTTTGAAAGTCAGATTAAATTTCTTTAGACTACCTGTAGGGTATACTTAGAGAAAATCATTCACTTTTTGCATGCAAAAAACAAAGTTAAAATTACTTTGCTTCACAAACAACTTCTGTATTCTTTAACTAGTACTATTTTCACCCTAGAAAAAGAACTCACTTTTATGTGATCTTGTCATTTTATCAGATTTGGCAGAGGCATCTTTGACTCGGTTGTGATACTCTACAAGGAATGTTCTTTCATGTTCAAAGAAGTCATCCACATCCTATTAAAAAAAAACCCCAAAGCAGAGCAGAGTAAATTTTCACATTCTGCTGTTGCTGTGACATGAAATACAATCTATTTTTCTTGCCTAGAACACCACTTATGCAAGCTGATTTATTCTTCACTTATATCATGATCTGAAGTTTTATTAAGAATTGAAGAATAACTAAGAATTTGTATCAAGCATCTTAAAGGTCTAGGTAACAAATGTGAATGAAATAATTCCACTACTAACTACCAAAGGGTGACAGAAAAATAGAATACATGTCAAGTACTTAATAAAAGGACACATACCTAGAAAAAGGGGAGAGGGGAAGAAAGTCACCCAGTTGCTGTGGTCACAGCAGAGATGACATGCACTCCTAGCTCAGAACACTCAACTTGATGACAGATTTCAATTTGGTAAATGTAGGTAAAATTTACTATTTTCTGTATTACAATTTGAAATATTTGGTTCGTATTTGTGTTTTTAAACCCTCTAAAATAATACAGATGCTCAATAGCATGGAATAGCCTACAACAGCACTTTCAAAGCTCAAGATTTTACAACTAGAAACTTCTGTAATTTGCTACCAAATGCAAAGTTACCACTAGAAAGAAAGGAGATAAAAAATCATCCTCTGCAGAACTTATGCTTGTTATAAAATCAATCATAAAGCTTTTGGAAAAATTAAAATGAAATCGAATTTTCATTATAAATTTTTTTTTTTTGTCTCAGTTACATTCTTGCATCTTCTGGGAAACCTTTACTGATGCTCTTAGCTTTGAAACAGTAGAAGGATTTTACAAGGCTGGTAAAATTCATGATGTGTTAGTAACTTCTGAACAGAAGCAGTTGTCAAACCTAGTTCTCCTTCCCACTACATTAAATGGCAGCCCAGAACAAAAAAACCCCCAGATTATCAATTATCTATGGATTAAAGAAAAGCTTAATTTCATACAACAGAAAAGAGTACTGAACACCCTCCTTCACACAAGCAAGTTCTCAGTTATCTTCCACCCAGGCCACAGGTTTTTTCCCCACAGTCTGCCACTAGCTCTTAAGCTATATATCACTATAAAATCTCCTTTTTTGTAGCTAAATAAAATTCTGCTTCATTTAAAAAAGAGAAGAAAAATGTTAATACATTTTAATTCTTGAGGTGTAATCACCTTTACTCCTGAAACAATGACACCGTCTGCTGATTTAACCATATTTTTGAAGAAGTCTTCAAGTTTCTCTTTCTTATTTTTCCCACGAACACTCAACTGAAAAACAAATTCATTTATCAAGTTCATTCCTTTTCTGCAGGCAATAAAAGCTTTATAAAAAATTTAAACAGAACTATGTATCACAACTTGCTACACCTAAACCAGTTTTCCTGTTCTCTGCACTAATGGGGACAGGGCACCATGCATTCAGAATGACAGACTACCTCGTTTATTAGACTGCTCTTTATCATGTAAAACACTATACCAGGGGAAAAAAGAGATGGTCTACACCCCAGCACCTACAGGTAATACCAAATGTACAACGTGTACACCTCAGTTATCAATAATATTTATCATGCACAGTATAGCTGCTCAGTTAATGTAACCATGTCCACTCTTAAGTGTAGAATGGCAGATCTCTGACTTCCAGAGAATAATGCTGGTTTCAGACTCCTCAGACTCTTCCTGTCCATCTAAATTTGTTCAGTTGAGGTAAACTGAGTTCTTGAACCAATAAATATTTCTACATCAACCAGCAGAGGAACTTCTGGAACATATTTTGAATTAAGCAGGTATGCAGTCAAGCCAGTCTTCATAAAGATTTCTTCATTTACTGTTGATTCCTGCAATTTCAAAAAGCAACTAAAAACTGTCTGCAGAATACAAGCAACCACTAACTCCAACATCAAAGAGTTATGACCCCAAAAAGTTGTCTCCCTCAACTCAGTAAGTAACATGGATAGCCGCACTCGCCCAACACTTAGGAAAACATTAACCAAATTTTCACCTACATCATTAACAAAATTACTTCACTTATCAGAACATTTCATGAGAAATTCTCTCCGGTTTTGTTAGCAACAGAATTTAAACCACAGTTCCAAATCTTCAAAATTAGTGTTCTATCTTTGTTGAATCATTTTTCCCTGCAACAACGACCAACAAAATTTCAAAGAGTGGAGAAGTGTAATGTCATGTGACATCATCACCAAAAGCTCATCTTAATGCAAAATATACTGGATTTCCATTAATATTTTTGATGCTGAGGTTAGAGCACATAGTGCATTTGGTTCCCCAGGTGACACAAAATGAACTTCTACAGGCTAAATGGATTTCTAACTTTTCCAACACAAATATGTCTGGTATGAAGGAACTGATGTAATTTGCTCCAGGAGGTAATGCAGTCTTAATCAATTTTTCATCCTACCATAAAAGTACATCTTGATTTCTCTTGCCAGCAATTCAGTTTTTAATACTTACATCCTGATTATATTCCAAGAATACATGGAAATTTAAATCCTTTCTCAAAATAGGATGTGCGGCCACACGACACAAAAACACTTCATGCATTGCAACTGTCTTCTTGAATATTGCCAAATATTCACTGAAAACAAGAAATAAGACAGACATAAGAATTTCCTATGAAGCAATTAAGTTTGAGAGCCTAGTGAGCAGCTTAAGAGATCCTCAGTAAGGATACAAAATTGTAAGCTGATATAATAGAGTTTATCACTCCAATATTTGATATAGACATAATAGTATAATGTTAATACTAGGGGGAAATTTGAAGCCCAAATTTATTACAGAGAGACTTTTAATGAAGAGTCAACAAATACACTCTAATTTTTAAGGTTAGCTAACAGACACTGGTTTGCTGAAAGTGTAACCTCATTTAATTGTCCTTTCCCCAGCACCCCAAAAATCAAGAAACAGAGGTACAGACTACAGCCACTAGGCTTTATGTATTGATGTGCAAATTCCTTCCTCCCCATCTCCATCCCCTTGCCCCTTTGCACCCTCCTTACTTATTTAAATGTTCAAGTAGTTTTGTTAGCTGTTTAGATAGCCTTTTATTCCACATTAAAGCACCTAGCCTTTTTGAGCCAAAGCTTGCATTGATGTCTTGCTTCACAGTGGTTCTAAAAAGAAGTGCTGCATTTGGTAGGTACAGCCAAAAGATCACGTTTAACCATAACCATCAGACCATTGCCCAGTTCAGCCAACTCAACCTCAAAGCAATTACTCCTTTGTGAGTTAATTAAGAGGAAGGCATTCTTATCAAAATAAGTTTGCTAGAATTCACTTTGCTTTGCAAATTCAATGAATAGCTCATCTAAAAATGAGGAAAGGGCTCTTTTTCCCATTCTGAGGTCAAACAGTGAAATTATAATCAACACTTTTCCTTCCACTATGTGCAAGGAGGTTAAGATTTACATACCAGCAAACCAGCAGGGCCAGTGTTGGGAGATGTTTGATCTCAGTGAGAGTAGTAGTCATTCAGTGAAGACAAAAAAGGAGGATGCAGAGGATGGAGGTGGCAGTAGAAGAAACCCAAAGTTTTCTGTGTTATCCAACCCCTAACCAGACCACAAGAGAATCATGATCAGGGCCGCTGGAAAACCAGATTCTTTAAAATCTATAGTGTTTTGCTAATTTCCAGTTTTCTGCATATGAAGTGTATATCTACTCTGCTATAAGTTATGTTGTACATATCATTAATACAGAGCTTTTTAAGACATTTGCTCACAGCAGCTGGAGTTCGGAGACAAAGCAGCAGTTCTAAGAGTTCTATGTACTTTTCTTGCCAATTCAGAGCTCTTGATAGAAGGAGTCTAGAAGCAGCGTAAATATACACTTGAAAACTGAAACCAATGACAGGAAAAAGATCAAAGAAGTGAATGCATGATAAGGAAAATGGACGAAGCAAGGAGAAACTTCACTGTGTAACTCAATATGGAACAAGAAGCCTCAGAGAAGATATTTCAATATAAATTAAAATCACAGTCAGGGAAAATACTATTTTCAGGAAGTGTGTTCTCCTTGTTAAAAAAAAAAAAAAAAGTGTCAAAAAAAGTATTTTCTAGTAATCTTTGTATTTCCTTTGTATTTCCTGGGGAACAGAAGGTCGGCATCTACCTTTACAGTACCAACCACATGCAAAGCCCCTACCTCAATCACTGCATGTATAACCTTACATCTTGTTATGCTTATAAAATGTGGAACACCAGAACTAAAAAAGATAAAGGTTATTGCCTCCCTTTGCGGATGTTCTGTGAAGAAAAGGATCTAACTATTTCCTTTCTTATAAAAGAATGCTCAAGAACAAGCCGATATTTTTTTCCTGTTTTGTAAGATCTTCCATAAAATTATTTCTACAATTTTCCTAATGGCACTGATCATGATCACTAAGATAAACCCTGGTTATGCAGCAACTGGATTCTCAAGCCTGTATCTTACAGAGAACCATTACAGTGAAACTGGAAACATGGGACAGCAAACAGCATCAAAAGTTTCAGGATATAAATAAATGAAGTAGTAATCAAGTCTACATACGCCTCCAGTTCTTGTTTCATCTTGGTGAATTCCTCTTTAGTCATTGATCCTTCCCCTTCTCCAAGCTTCTGCAATTTCTCCCTCGAGGCATCAAAGTCAGGCCTGGGTGGTGCTGGCGGAATCTGGAATTGAATCCGATTTTTTTAATTCCTCATCTTCTCAAACATCCACTCAGTACAGGAGCTGTAGACTGCCTGCAGCTCTTTAAGATACATCTGTCTCTTTCATCATTCATTACAGCATTTCTGGATGAAGTCTCTCATTCCCGAGTTATACGTGCTGCCTTACTATACCAATTTTGGTCACACGTCCTTGAAGATTACTAAAATATTAGCTAATGGCTTGAGTTTAATTACATCAGAAACCAAATAATACCTAGCTTTTCCATGACAATGAATTAAAACATGGAATCATTATTTTCTAATTAGTTTTGGTTTAGCTTATATGGTAAGGATCATTTCTTGTTTAAAGAAAAAAAAAAAAGAATTCCACTATCGTTTTCACACCATCCATTTATAACTCCTCAAACTTTAAAGCAAGAAAACCATTCCCTATTGTTTGCATGCACTAGGTTATTTCTGGAAGCACTATTGACATTAAAGACACATCTGTTCAAATAAAAAAGCACACAGTAAACAAGTCTCTAGGTTAATCTTGTAATACAGTAACAGTGAAAGAGAAAACACCAGTCTAACTAATCCTGATTTGTTGTCAGTAAAGGGACACAAAACAAAGCTAAACTATGCTTAAATCTTAGTTCACTGATATTTGCCCATTACATTCACACATCACAAAAAAAGAAAAATTCACCACCTAGACACTCAGCTATCTGCAACTAATTATTACTGCACTGAAGGTCTAGCCACTTCAAATAGCTTTGCTGACTAAGAAAAGTCTATCATAGAATTGGTATGACACCTCACAGATCATATTCGTTACAATGTGCCCACTAATCAATTAGAAATATGTTTACCTTCTGAATCAGCAGACACCCCCCAAATACAAAATGAATACCTAACTTTCATGCCAAGATGACAAATATTCCTATCTGCAATTAACATATGAATAGTAGCACCCATTTTTGGTAGCAGTATCATTAAGGCAACTATTTTGAGACCTCTGTTCCTGGAGGCCTGAAATAAACTTCAAAACGTAAGTTATTAAGTTGTGCATTGAGGTTCTCTGATATTTGATACTGAGGTCCTACATGATATTTCCATTGTTTTTTCCCCTCTGTTTTACGGTAAAATGATTCTGATCTTTACAACAAAAACTGGAAAAGTCTAAGTACTTCACTCTGCCCTTCCAGCTAAAACAAAGGCAACATGAAACTTGTAACTAAGCTTGCAAAAACAGTATCACCAGGTAATACAGTTCAACTATCTCCCACACTTTTACCACGGTGGTCTAAAAATACTCTTGGAGACAGACTAAATTACTCATTCATTCCTTAGGAGTGTCATTCATGCCTTAGGAGTGAAAGGCAAGAAAGTATGATAACTACTGTAACTCTTCTTCAACCATTAATTTTGTGTAATTGCATAAAATTAATTATTAGCGCAGCTGATCTGATTTTAGAAGGAATGAACATCTGCGGTTTCCACTGCATTAAAAGTAGTCTCAAGCATTTCTGGTACAGCATATAAACCAAAAGAACACCAATACTTACGATATAGCCAGCATAGTCCTCATTCTCAACAAAAGAATCATGAAGCCAAATAAATTCTTCATGTTGCCGAACAACAGAAAATTCATTTTGTTTGAAATTTGGTAAGGAACTCTAGAAGGGGAAAAGGAGGTAGAATTATAGGGGACAAAAAAACCCTCAAACAACGAAAAACACACAACAAAATACAATGTTTTTTATTACTCTATGAGAAGCACCTTGAAGGAACAACAAAAATATCCCTATAAAAATAACTGAATCATCCAAGTAAGGATTTGACACAAAAAAAGTTAGTACAGAAGTAATTACTCTCATCTTAATTAGTGCTGTAATCAATTGGAATGGGTTGCCTAAAGAGGTCTTTGCCCTTGGAGACAAGCTTAATATCTTTATCAATTTAATCTTGGGAGTTCTGTTTAATATCTTTATCAATGCTCTGGACTAGGGGATTGAGTGCACCCTCAATCAGTTCGTAGATGACACCAAGTTGGGTGGAAGAGTTATGTCTTGCAGGGCAAGAAGGCTCTCCAGAGGGACCTGGACATGCTGGATCCAAGGGCTGAGAGCAGTTGTAGAGGTTCAGTAAGGCCAAGTGCCGGGTCACAACCACCCCATGCAGTGCTACAGGCTTGGGCAAGAGTGGCTGGAAAGCTGTCCAGCAGAAAATGACCTGGGGGTACAGGTCAACAGCTGCTGAACAAGAGCAAGCAGTGTGCCCAAGTGGCCAAGAAGGCCAGTGATACCCTGGTTTATATGAACAATAGTGTGGCCAGTGGGGCTGGAGAAGTGATTGTCCTGCACTAGTGAAGCCACGCCTTGAATCCTGCGTTCAGTTTTGGACCCCTCACTACAAGAAAGATATTGAGGTGTTGGAGCTTGTCCAGAGAAGAGCAACAAAGCTGGTGAAGGGTCTGGAGCACAAGTCCTGTGAGGAGTGGCTGAGGGAACTGGAGGTGTTTAGCCTGGAGAAAAGGAGGCTGGGGGGCAGGGGGGATTCTTATTGCTCTCTACAACTACCGGAAAGGAGGTTTTAGGGAGATAGGTATCTGTAACAGGTAACAAGTGACAGGACAAGAGGAAATGGTCTCAAGTTACACTAGGGGAGGTTTAGATTGGATATTAGGAAAAATTTCTTCACCAGAAGGATTGTCAAGCACTGGAGCAAGCTGCCCAGGGTAGTGGTTGAGTCACCACCCATGGAGGTATTTAAAAGACATAGATGTGGGACTTAGGGATTCAGCAGTGCTGGGTTAACAGTTGGACTCAATGATTTTAGAGGCCTTTTCCAACCAAAATGATTCTATGATTCTATATTCAAAACCCAAATGGACAAGTTCTGAGCAGTGTGCTCTGGTTTACCCTGAATTAATGCTGAGAGTGAAGGAGGAAATGGAACTAAATGACCTCCCGAGATTTTATTCAACTTCAATTATTGTCATTCTGCAATCAATAAACATTCAAATGAAATAAAAAAAATTTTTAAAAAGCCATAAACAACAGTAACTAAAAATGAGCCCCGGTTTTAATTCCATTATGAAATATGTCTTTCAGAATCTGAAACTACATTAAAATCTAATAAAAAATCTATACTGAAGAATATTCATTAGTACTAAGGATTCAACCTGCAAACAGGCTAATTAATAAGCATGAGAATGGCACAACAACACATCATGCAAAAAAATGAACATAACTTTTTTCTAAACAGTTTTTTAACCTCAACTTTCTAGCCACCTTTTTCTTAAGCACTGCAGCTACACAGTTTCTTAAACATGAGATAATTCTGCTCTGGATTGCGTAACACTTGGATTCAATAAACAGTTTAAGCAAACTTTCTCTTCTATATAATTAACAAAGTGTTCAGTGTACAAACCCAAACTTTTACCTTTGTATGGACAGTGAATTTCACTTTGTCCCTCTCACTGAGAGCATCTGAGATATCCACTTGCAGAGCAGCATCAGTCTGGAGATCTACATTTATTGCTCTAAGCTAAACAAAGAAAAATCTATTTAGCTTAAATAAAAAGAAAGTTAATTATATTTCCTTTATTCTTCCTTTGAGAAGAACCCTGATCCTGCAATGCTGACAATAGATTAAAAAAACCCAACATTAAAAGATTATTTCCAGCAGGAAAACAAATTCCAGTAGCACTCCTTATGGCATGAATGACCATACAAATGATTTCCTTTACAGTACCTTTCCTTAGTGCAATATTTTCATTTCTGCATACTGTTAACTTGCTAGCAATTGAAGTGGTCAAGGCAAACTACATTTACCGACAGCAGCAAGTTTGGTAGGCTTTTGTCTTCATTCTCCCCACTCCTCTGAACTGACAACCTGCTCTAAATGTACTTGTAAAGGTAATTATAAAGATACTAATATTTGGAAAGGTAATTTTAAGGAGAAAAGTGGTCCTATATTTCAAAGCAGCCAAAGCTGTTAGAGACCTGATTTACTCACACTGTCTTACAGTATTCTTCTCTTTAACATTTCTCATGAAATACTGAAAAAGTTTTAAAAGGATATCCTGACCCACACAGAGCTAAGTCTTCTCAGAAATACTTTTCTGGAAAAAACCCAGAACAAAAAAACTCAAACCCAGTATTTTAATCTCTCCAAAATGAGCATGAGAAATTGCAAAAGTGAAAGGAATATGCATTTTTTTCCCCACAAGACAAGAAACCTGAACTCTCTCACAAAATAATTCCAAAGACATGTCAAAAAACCCAAAAAGATACAATGGTCAAATATAGAAAAACTGGAGTATTATCTGAGCACAACAATATTTGGCAATAACTGGACCAAAGGCTTCAACAGTACTTTATCTAGATCCCAAATGGAAATCCAGGTCCCCTAGCCCTTGCAACCTTGGTGTTCCAGACCAGTTTGTCCCATGACAATTTCATCATCATGACTGACAGACATTTTGAATGTTTTTGCGAGTACTGCGGCTACCTCTGAAATCTTCTCCAACCACATTGTCAAAAAATATTTCAGTGACATGCTCATGAGGTTTACTTCTTACTGAGACACTGTGTCTCCTCTGATGCTGCAGTTTTTCTAAAAAAATCCCATTCTACAGTCTACAAATGGTTTGAAATACAAGATACAGACTCTTCCCCCACAGAACTTTTCAGGACTGCATTTCGAAGTCTGTACTCAAGTACAAAAATGCTGCCAGTATCAACAACACACAGTACAAAGGTTACACACGAGCAGATTTTGAAGGTAATGCTATGAGGTACTGAAACTGCACTAGGAGAGAAGCATCAACTGCCACATCTTGTTTTTCACCAATTATCTTAATCTATATCTTAAATCAGAGTGGACAGATCCCACTCTAGTTTTGTTGTTAACCTCAATGCATGGACAACTCCTGCCCATGTAGCAGCAACCAGACTAATGTATTGAAGTAGACCAAAATCATGCAGTCTAGCATATTCTGCCAGGCCAGCAAAATATAAGAGTTCAATAGCTATTACACAAATAGTAATCGCTTTTCCTTTCAGCAAAGTTGGAAATCGTTAAAATGACCGCACAGTAACATATTCACACATGTGATCCAGGCACTGCCTTTTGTTTTGTTTTCCCAAGGTTCAGGGGGTCATTGCCTCACACAAAGGCATATTATCGTGTAACGGTCCACTGCAGATCACTTCTCAGAGGCAGAATCTCCTAGCCCCTACTGAGTTTCCAATGTGCTGAACATCTAATTTAGGAAAGAAAAATACAATGACATACCAATGTCTCCCTTATGTCATGACACCACATTTTTCAGCATGTAAAAGAGGTCTTTGTGGTTACACTGTCTGGGGTACTGCTTGTTTTTCTCCAGTACCCCCAGAATACATTAGCAAACAGTAATCTCAGCAAATAATCTGGATTATCTAAATGGTATTTTTGCAGTCTTTCACACATCACAAGTATTTCTACCAAAATACTCTTCCCTCTCCTTTGTTTTTCTTATTGTTACTATACAAAATTCTAAGTTTCAGTGTAACAGCTGATCAAGTGTGTCACTAGAGCTTATGCAGTCTCTAGTGCAGAACACTCTGGTCACATGCACTATGCACAACTTCAGATACAAAACTCCTATCTGTGATGAGAAAACTAAGAACTACATATGACAACTGCACTCATGACACACAACTGTGAAGGACTATTTGATTTATACTGAGTTAAGTTTGTAACAGTTTTGAAGAGTTTAATCATATGTTAAATTATGCTATGTAGCCTGACTGCCAACAGGGAAGGTTTTCATCTGCAATGGTAATGAAGCATTTATGAAAGGTGTCAAAGACAATGAGAAAGTTGAAGGACTCTAAATGTATTCATGTGACACAATGGTTCACATTGCATTACTGGGATTTCAATTCACAAGCAACATCCTCATACAACAAACTGAAGCAACCTCTGTCACTGCCTCCAAAAGGAAACTGTAGATGGTTTTCTAGTCACAAAGGAAGTATGAAATGGAAAAAAATATTTGAAAGTCTCATATGGATCAAAACTGAAATGAAAGTACCTTAAAGTATGGAAGAACTGGAGGTTGGATAAAGTCCCTTTGTATCCTGCTCCCCTGCAAGTCTAATACACACAACACAGCACAACAATTTTATGCTTAGATGCATACTCTACACCCATGCTGAACAACTTGCAAGACAAAAACTTAGTTTAGCTACTTAGAGTTTTCCATGCTATACCAAGAAAGTCCCTGTTTTATTCAAAGGGTCTAGAAAATATCAGAAGCCAAAACCCAGACTAAGCAATGCTACAATACTAAGAGAACACAATACAAGGAGAGGATTTAGTATCTAAGCTCTTGCTTAAGGATAGTTATACTTCGAATGATAATGGAAAGTAGCTGGTAGAGACAAGCGAACAATCAAACCTTACATTCCTAATGCCACCCATTAACAGTAACTTCCATGCTCTAAGCTCTTTCAAAATGTTAAAAGGACCCTTTCTTCAGCGGGTTCTTTACAGGCAGATAAATAAACAGAGGAAGGGGACAACAAAAGATTACCAAGTGTGTGTCTTCACAGCACTAAGTTTCCAGCAAACCTGTTCTAAGGGATAGCTCATTTTCCCTAAATGAGTAGACAAGAGCATTAGCCAAGTCAGCTGAAGTTTACATAGACACAAAATACACCAGACAGTACAAGCAGAGCAATACTATAGCACCTCTCAAAGCACATATTGTTTATGTTAGAGAGAAAAAAAAACCCGACAACCCAACAGGAACTGAGTTACTCCAACCAAACTCAATAGCAGCTTCCCAATCTAGAAAAGCAATTTCCCCAAGTTCGTTTTATGCAGACCACCCACTGCTACTTCCTCAAAGATGATTCTCAGTGCTCTGTTTTACAATTCTCCGGAAAAGGCTGCATACGGTATAACACAATTGTTTCAGAATTACTGTTCTATGTGGCATCAGCACAAATTCCAGCCCTCTTTTCATCCCATCACCCCAAGGTTAAATGTAACACAACTGCAGCTGACCAACATGATGCTGCAGCATTAAAAGTACAGTTGTCATAGCAATATCTGAATTCTAGAGAGGCAAGAGTACTGATTTTCAAAACTAAGAGCTCAGGCTAAGCAGAAGTTGCCAGCCATGCTTTCAAACACAGGCTTGACCAGGGAATCACTTTATGAAAATATGTTCATTTTTACTACTTCTACTAAGAAAAAAAAAAATCACGATTTTGAAGATTAAAGCACAGCAAATCCATTCATGAACAAACTGCCATATTGGTTTTGATTAGATTTCCTACACCACAATCAAAATTACACAGATAACAACATGTGTTTTAACCTTGGGGATTTACGCAGCAGTGAAAAAATTAAACTCCCAGAGTGACTGGTGATTGAAAATACGAAACCTAAAAAATTAGGGAAATGAGAAGGACACTGTTCTGGTTTAATTCCTCAGTGCTGGATGAAGATGGGGGAAGGGAAAAAAAAGACCGCGCCTGGGCAACTGAGATGATATAAGGTGTCCAACAGTACAAACAAGACTGGTAAGAGATTTCTTAAGGTTTTCAAATTGTCTTGTGAACTCTGATGACCCTTAGCCTTAGAGGGAAAACTAATAACCAAACAAACAAGTTTCGCACAGGTTCAGAACGCCATTGTTATGCTCTACCTGCACCTTCAGATCCAGACAATCGAACTGTGCATGTCAAAGTCTGTTCCTAAGTAGCAGGAACAACCTATGTAAAATACAATTCCATAATTAACAAGTTTTTCAGTTCTTGTTCTGAAGAACAAGACGCTCAAAGGACAAGAGAAATTTCTACCTTCTTTTTTTATCCAGCATTCTTAGAGACTACTGATAGTATTCAGGCTCTACAGTGGCCCGGATTGTTCTGATGAGAAGTACGAGAATGCCTTTTTAAATTTCTGGTCATAAACTGAAATGTAAAATGTACTGAATTCCTACCATATGCATACAGTAAAAAATCGTTTGGTACTTAACATTTCATTTGACACCCGAGTACAGCATGCATGATAGAAGGTTGTACCAACACAGTGCTTCTCAGATTTTTGTATTTTTAGTAATATACCATATGTAGTCACTTCAATAACCACCAACAGCCAAGGCAACCTAAGCAACCCAGAAGCTGCTCTCCTGCCTTGCTCAGAGCGCGTCTTTCTCAAGATACTAAGCGACAGGGGTAATCAGTCTGAGTAAATTACACTAGATTAGCTGATCTGTTGCTTAAGTGAGGCAGGCAAGTTAAAGAAAGATGGATGCAAGCAGTCAGGAGAGAACCGAGGGCCAGAAACGGGAGGGCAGAGGAAAAGGTTTCCTCTGTAAGAATCATAATCCTGGCATCCTCTCCCAACAACAGAACTTCTTTTCAATAAAGAGTTTATTATGCAGCACGTGCCTGCGATGTAAATGTCCCCTTGTTATCTGGGAACCCCCGGGGCCTAAAGCGAGAAGGGAGGGCAGGGCTGCTGCACCTAGGCCCTGGCTCTCG